TCACGAAAGACTCAACTGAATCTCTCGTTTGTGATATTCTACAACTGAATGTGCTGCACACAGGCCGCTTCATGTTTCAGTTGGCACGATATTCGAGATATCGCAGTATATTTTCATAAAGGAAACTACTTACAAGGTTGCGGAAAACTCCTCGACAGCCCACGACCGGTCTCGCTCTTCTTGGAGCTCATCAGGTAGGCGCAGTCCCCGAGTTTCCGTCAACCTTATGATTAACTTGAACCCAAATTGAACCGTTATCGAGAAACACACTAATTTGCAAATCAATTTGGTTTTTCACGAGAGACTCAACTGAGCCCCAAGAAGGTCGAAACCGGTCGTGGGCTGTCGAAGAATTTTCAGCAACCTTGCGAGTAGTTTCATTCACAGTGATCTGTTTCAGTAACTTAGCCCCCAAAGTTCTCAATGTTTCCAATCACTGGGAGAAAGTTTGGGACCGATTTGGTTTCATAGAGTTTTGTTAAACTCTAGATCCATCGATTGTTAGCGAAACCTTTCTTAATGTTTCCCTTTCCAGAATCCCTACTCTGAAGTATCTGGATGACACCTTAACAAATGCATCATTTGGTCCCCTAAATCTATACTGTTCTCAATGGATAAAAACGTTGTGCTTTGCACTACGTCAGCTTCTTGTTCCATTAGGTCTCATCCATAGGTGCTCCATTGTTTGTCTCTTCTGTCACTGGGCCCAAAGTTTCAACACCCTTTTCACTGAAGACAGGTCATGAAGAACTTCATATTAAGCAAGCACACTAATAATTGTTCCAACTACACCCACACGATTATTTCTAGTACTGTTCACCCTCTTCATCAGTTGCTCGCCTGGTCCACAACGACTTCAAGTACCTGTTTCAAGTACAAACGGGTAACTACTATATCTTCCACTAAAGGTGCCCTTCTGACTCCTAACTTGGTTCGTTCTTTCGTTAATCACACTCCATTGCGCAACAACTTCATATCCACACTCTGATGAATATTCAAAAAACACGTTTTCCTAATATACGGTATACGTAATCGTGATCTCGTTGTATTATTTAGGTTCATATTTTATCATGGATGAATTAGGCACTAGTGGGCCTGAATTGGTCTGTAACCTTTCTCTAGAAACCTGGTTGTGTAATTGGTGCACACCAATTGCACCAAACCGCCAATCTGCCATTAACATCGAACCCTGTATTATCGATAGAACAGAAGAGGTAACATCTCATCCAAACGATGGATCAAAAATGAAACTGAGAATAATCTATCACCAGTAATTTTCAACCGAACAACACGAATTAGGGATGCCAGAATTGATTTTTTCTAAATGAAGCTGTATGTATAAACTGTAAAGTTGCTGTTGCTGATTAGCTCTGGTTACCCTAGTTGCAACTAGTTAACAAGCGAGTATACAATCACTCATCATTCTAAAGTCATACATACTACTGAATACGAGCTAGTGTGTTATTCACAGGTATATTATTCGCCGAAATAAATGCATATTGACTGCTCATCAGAGGTGTGCAAATGAAACTGCCTAACATGTTCCTAAAGTGGTTTTAACACATGTATGATGGAGTGGTTCGTTTGTTTGATTCATAGAACGTCTTCTACAACCCCGCCATGTGGGGAAACACTGGCCTCTGGAACATTTCGAAAGGTGTGCATCATATCCTTCGACTGATCACTCATATCCACCTTACAGTGCGCTCTCTGGTTCTGTCATCTAAATGTACCCTAGCATTGAATACCACGAAACAGCTAGATACCAGTCTAAGTCAGTGTAGAGCAAGATACAACCACGCTAGTTATCGAGCTTAAAAGGTCGGGTAATCGGTCCTCAGTGCAATTCACTCTTGAAGTGAATTAATGGTCAGTGTGTGCGCACCGGTCATGAGCCGACAGCTAGGTGATTTTTTCGTCAGCGAGTGACTGCTCAGAAAAAGCCTAGAAACACAGACTTTTGGACAGACAAAAGATGCACACCTTAACCTCACTTGTTCTTCAATTTGGAAATGAAGCTAGCTAAATTAACTAGATATCCCAGTTCAATTCACACCATAGCTTGAAGGGCTTTCGCCAATGCATTCTGTCATGTGTCCTGAAAAAAGGGCGTGGTAACCTGAGTTGGATCGATGGTCTAAAGCATACGAAGGCAGTGCTTTTCGGGTGCTTGCTTTGAAACTGCAAGTTGTCTGGCGTGACAAGGTTGCCGAAAGTTTAATTGAAGTAGACAGATGAATTAAAAGGGCCGATGGGTATTCAGTTTTACCTTAGGAACCCGTGAGCCATTTCCTGGTACATACCAATGATGCGAACTTTTCTGGCGATAACAGCACTCAGATTCCATCGGTCAACAGTGAACACCACCAGACCGCACAAAAATTTACTCGTTGATGGTTATGATGCCGATTAGCCATCCCAGTTGTCATGTTATTCAGATGACCATCACTATAGCTCCGGTCAGAAATGTCTGGATGGAGAGAACTTAGTGATCTGGTTCACGCCGCTGCGACAAAGGAACTATTATGTCTGCTACTCCTGCGACCATTTTTATAGGAGGATAGAAACTTGGCGCATCCTACTGCGCTTCTCACGGCTCTGGGAGGTCACGAGACCGACTAGCCGACAGACCGAATGAATCCGGATAAGCGACGAGCGACACCAGTGGCTTTCGCTTGTTCGTACCTCATCAGGTTGTTTACACATCGCAGACAGTGCCAGACGAGACAACTTTTGGACAAGTGTGTGGGTGCCGTCTGTGTGCTTGTTGTGTTGTGCCGCACCATGCGAATCACATTCAAGTGAATCAAAACGATGTTTGTTTGGACGTTGTCGCTCTGGGCGTTCACGTGTCTATCATCTCATTCTTGTGGCCCCCAAATTCTTCCTCGGTCTCGCCATAACGAAACAATGAGCCGATCAGATCTTATTCGGTTGAAGGGTAATGAAACTGGATGGCACTGGTGCTCCTCACCGTGATGATTCTAGACACGTACGAAACTGCCTCTAAGGCTTAAGAACGAATAATAACATGTTCATGTGTCAAATGATACCACACGAAGGTACTTTTCAGGCCATTTGATAGACCGCCTATTGTTTTGAAACTATCTCAAGCGAAACTAATCTTCAGTTCGCTGTTGATTTCAACGCTACCCAGCATGTGGCTTTCCTCCACAAGCCCCAATAGATGCTTTCGATTTTGAGATGATTCAATTACGTTAAACTCTTTCTGAGTCTCGTGGAAATGTTTACATGTGTACTAGAAAACGAATAGGTGAACACTTACCAAATTAAATACCTTTGGCGATCTCGTCCAAACTTCTTGACATCTGTCCAAATCTAGAAAATCAGAAGGAAAACTCGGTAGTGCAATATTGCAGTCACGCCTTTCAAAAAAGCTCGTCATAAGTTTAGCTACTCCTTCTGTACACTGGATTTTTGTCACGGAATCTTTCAGTGTTAGATTATCCTCAAAGTAGTCCAGATCCCAAGATCAACGGTGACTGTTAATTCCCTGGTCGCATATGCCGCTCCACTTGGAGTGGTGTACAATTTTGTCCAGGTTACGCTTTGCTTCACTACATGAACTAATCCAGCGTCAGGCCCTTCCTGGCTAGGCGTGTAACCCCAGTAACTCAGCCGGTCTGGCCATACCGTAGCATGTCGATCATAACGTCCATCTATCCATTATTTTGTAAGTCGCCTCTCTGTTCCTCATCCTGAACGAAGAAGGAGGGTAAGAAGCCAACCACTGCTGCTCGTTATCCACCGTTGAAAGCATATAGACAAATGATACAACTAATGTACGTGTTTTTGCGTTTGAAGTTGCCCGAACAACGGTTTGAGCTCATATCTTTTCAACTCAAGTTAAAATGGCACAGGTGTGTAACCAAAGGCCAAGGCATCATTTGCTGAACTCTTTATCCTCACTTAAGAAGTCCACCAAAAGTAAATAACCTCACTCTGTTGAGATATTCTGAAATCGGTCGCGTCTATCTCATTTCCTAACCATTACAAGGTTGACTTACGGTTTAATAACCCCTCTTGTGCCTGGAATTCAGCTGGAATTCCAACCCTCTTCACTTCCACAATTGAGAATCTGGCCAGGGATGTACCACCTTTGAATGACTGACTTCTCTTGTTTTAGAAAGTTATCTTGAAGTGTGGTTCGCAAAAAATGCGGAGGAACTCCAGGTTTGTCTATAAACAATACTTCTCTAAACACTCATGCTAGTTTTTTTTAAAAAGTCATTCAACCAAACCACTCCGCGAACACTGAGATGTGGTATGCGCAAAAGATTTGAGCCAAAAAGCCTTCTCAAGCTGAACTGAACCGGAACTAATGTACGGTACTTCTTCCAGCAACAACAACGCCTGAGTTTCTTATTTGTTGAGGGTTGTATATTGTCTGTAAATCAGATCCTCATGGGTCTACCTCATCCTGATCAGCATCACTTTCAACGTATTGTATAGTACATAAGAAAAGAAAATCTGCTGACATCTGGAATGTAAACGCGGTGCAGAAAGTTATGGAAACCGTACATTTGGATGAAAAATCACAGACCAGAGCAAAAGACTGAACTGCCCGCTTACACCGATCTGTTTGCCCGAGTTATTTATCCAGTGTAAATGACTGAATAACCCACGAGCATGTCACAAGAACTAGATAAGGCCTGCACTCTTCACCAACTGAATCAAAGTTCAATCCCCGTTCATAGCTCACACACGCACCACACGTATTCAGACAGCAATATTATTTTAACCGAACGAGACCAAGTCAACGGGTTACACAATTAGCTCAAGTCGCCGATCTGAGGGGTGAGCACCATCCTCGTATTTAGATGCACGAATTTCAGTTAAGTAATGTGATCTCCGCCACCAAGTAAAAATTCCCAGAGCCTGGTCTTGTCCTTTCGATAACATCCACTCAACAAAATTACTAAAGTTTTAACCGTCCCCCGCTGTGACTAGTACTCTTCAAGCTGAATGGGGTTTGTTGCCTATGCGGCAACAACCTGTTCGCTTGTCCATTGCTCAGCCGGCTGTTCCCGCTGGTAGCGCGTTTCTGCTTGGCGAGATTGGCCACCGATAGTTTTGCTCGAAAATTTGCGGGAGGTCATGGTAGTCCACCCGTGCATCACGAGGACAACAAGGACAAAAAACACTTCACATTTGAAGTAGACACTACTGCTGAGACCCTTTTGTCGTGCCCTGAGAGTTTTTACTTTGAGAGGTAGAAATTTTCTGGTCCACCCAAAATAATTACTCCAGAAGAGCTATCGCTTGTCAGGAGTTTATTTATTAAGAAGACCAGCGTACGAAAGAAAAGGCAGTAATTACTTTTCTAATTTATCTAGCTTCACTGGATTTGGATGATCACATCAGCACACAAGCATTCATTAAGGTATGAATTACGTCCTCATTCAGAGAATCTGAGTTCCCATGACCTTCAGCGATCTATTTGACTCCATGTCAAATAACCGGCAACTCGATCAGTCGACTATGGACTTGCTCGTTCACAGAAATCCGTTACTTCTCTCTCCCTCTCCCTCTCTGCTCCGTTCATGTTTGGTTTAATTCACAACTTGTCATACTGCTTTCTTTGATGCAATGGTGGTTGAGAAGGTTCCACGCCCAGGCAGAAGAGCTTTGAGATGAAAAAGCGGGCAGGAAGAACAACCGCTAGGCAACAAACAGATGGTGGACAATCCCATCAGAAACCTTGACAGAAGTCGTGGGACCAGGTAACTTCCTAACTTGCAGCTCATTCACTGATGGCTAATTTACTAATCAGTGAGGATAGGTTACGCGAATAGCAGATTCTTCATTCAGTGTCGGTTGAAAGTAGCTGAAAATCAGAACGAATTTTGGCTAGGATGATCCTAGCTTCCAAGTCTGGCGGTATGGTTGAGACGCACCCGTCACCAGACCGATCAGCTACCTTGTTGACTGAATGCGCGTACCCGCGATTCTTGCTCGTTGCCTGTGTAACACGTGACATCGTCTCATTCCTGTCTGAAAGTCACGTGAAGCGAATGGGCTAGCTTTGTGGCTGTCGCGACAAGGTGGTACACGGACGGGTTTGTTAGTTGTGTTGGAGGAGTGACCGTCGTATGATAGCCGATAGGCCGCGTTGCTGCAAGCTGACTAGGGCGAAGTTTGGGTATTGGATTTTATCTGGTCTAGCCTGAATGATGGACGTAGGTTTTTATGGGATGACAACAGACGAGAGGGACGGAAACCCAAATAAATCCGTAGGCGTGCACCTAGTTTCAGTCGGTCTCCTGGATTTGGACGAAAAATTTATGCATTGCAGAAAAGTAGGGGCAAAATCTGTTTCTAAAAAGCTGTCAGAATAATTGATGATGTACAGTTAAGTGATGCTTCAGAAGCAAACGCATGCCTTGAAACAATTATTACTCCGCGATGGAGGAGCAACAGAACAGCTATATGTTGCGCTATTTCAACAGACTTCTACTGCTTTGCCCCAGGAACTAAGCGGACGCGTCTTTTATCTAATCCCTAAAGTGTTTTGTTTGTTCGTAATACCATTATCCTTTTGTCATAACGCAGATCTTTTTACTGTTCGCATAGGGTGTTGCTCTACAGTAGTAACACAAAGATACCCTAGTAAAGGGAATAAACTGTATCATGAAGTCATCAAACATCGCGACAGTCACTCGTGTATATTAGGTCAGATTCGGCCGTGCCAGCGGCGGTTTCGGAGGTACGCTGGGACGGGAAAAGCTAAAATAGTGAAAATAGTGACATATTCCAATAACGCCATCGAATGAAACTAGTCGAGTTTGATACCGATGTCACCCTCACGCAACATTTGGAATAAACCTTGACATCCAAAAAGAAACTCTCTGAAGCCCCAAGAAATGTCGTATCCAAGTACGAGGGTGCCATAAAAAATACATTGGCATAGATCGAAATCACTGCAAGTTAATACATGGGATGGGATGGCGATAACGTGGTGCTTGTCACAATTTTTTGTAATTTGAGTTCATTTTTCTGGTTAAGCGAAAACTTTGGATGGTTCCACTGAAACCAAACAATTTTCTTGTGGGTTAAATAAAATCCCGATTACCTCAGCACTCGCTATGGCCGAGGTAGGAACACTGAACCGTGTGCAAGTCTCTGATGTGCATGTTCAGATACTAGAACAGTTATTACCAGAGTTTCGGCCAGCTAAAAGGGGTATCTCAGCAGGATAGCCCTGTGCATCCCACCCGTTATCCGATCTTCAGCTTTATGCGGCAGTTGGACAGGCCAATTTTTGCCCTCCACTTCGGCCTAATATGGAACCCGCGTGCAAGCGTACAAAGGTCCATGATTCCAAGACAGAGTGAATGGCGTCATGCTTGGCCTCATTCGAGAACAAGGCAGTAACACCTCCCGATGTGAAATAATCGAAATTCATCAATGAAAACTCTCTCAAAAGGATGGTAAATTGGGTTATGTAGGTTTTTCGCACCCTTTTTGTATCATTTTTGTGTGTCTATTTTAGCCCCAAGGCGTAGTCCCTTAGTTTCCAATTTCGTGAAAGGTACTAGCTTACCAAGATCAAATAGAGTTTATTTTCGTCCAGCGTTGGTAGATTTAAGGTGGAAAAGGGTATTTTCGTGTTTTATCCCGGGACTGATGCCTGTATCACCAATATATAGGCACGCTGATGAACTAGTCTAGTGCCAGGAAAGAGGAAATCCTGGGTCTGCTTTTAATGTTTCAGCACAGTCAGACAAACGTTTAGATTAGCCCCGGGTCAGATTCACTGAAATGGACCATCCTTTTCATGCTCAACAACGGGAGTGTGTTCAGTTCTGTGTGCAGTATTTTCGGGTTAGTACTATTATATGAGCATTATCAGCATTATCACAGCTATCAGTGCAACAGTAGTTGTACCAGTTCTCTATTGTAGCAACTGATAGGTAAACCACGGGAAACAGGTGCGGAGACCAGCTACACCAAAGTACCATGGTTTAGCTAAGGGTGCTTGCTTAGATGGGAGTAGACGAAAGAAAGCGCAGGTTTGGGAAGTAACCTTGTTTTTTTTCAATGTTTGGTAGATCTCTAGTTGAATAAGTTTTATCCACACAGGAAAACTAGGTCACCTCGGTACTACTCATAAAGCAGCTGAAAACTAGTTGACTGCCGTTTTCACTCCTCTTTGTGCTCATCAGTTAAGCCTTGTCCACGAATTTCCATCTCCCATTCCTTACTACTTAAACACCAAAAAGTGCTAAAGTGGCGGCAACCGTTCATTTGTATCTTGAGTTCGTTTTGCCCTTTCCGTTTGCCGTTTTTCTTCCAACTATGTCAAACAGAGCTGTTTACACCGAAAGTTTCAGTATGCTACTGTTAAACCCGAAGAACATAGCGATTATATAAATAAGTTTTCTGGAAATATGATCTATGGTAGACCACGCGTGTGTTCATTCTTAGGCAGCGTACTTGTCCTGAGACCACTTTTTATGTTGCTACGCTGTGCTCAAACAACTCATCTCTAAGGTGACTATGACAAAGGCTTGAAGAGGCTATAAATATCAACACTACAAGTGGAAATAAAATTCGGCAAAAAGACAGGACAGCTACTTGATTGGAGAGTGCACTCAGTGAGCACTAAAATCAACTGAGTTCACTTCTGAGGTCAAGTCAATAGTTTGTCGTTTGTTTATACGGTAAGCCTGGTTTTCGAGCACCTTTGATTCAAAAGTTGACTCACCGCCCAGTGGATAGTCTAGTGACTTGATCATCATCAGTATCATCGTCATCATCATCATCAACACGGCCATTCTCATGATCATCAGCTGCAACATCAACAGTAACTGTAACATCGACGTCAATACACCAGCAGTAAATTCTGATGGTTAAATCACACACTACCACGAGGAAGAATGCCCTATGACAGATTGGAAAAGCAAGGGTGTGAACTAAGCGCAAACAACCCCATCTCCCCATGGTAAACGATGAAGAACTAGGTGGCTACACAGAACGACGGATCAAATTTATCAATCAGTAACAACACTTTAAGCACTGGGATCAGTTACGTGCCGCGTCCACGCGGATCCCAATCAGGAAGGCGCAAAAATTCCACTTCGCTCAACCCAACGGTAACTGCCTTCATTTCGGCTTGTCATGCCACGGACTGTCCCCCGCAGGCTTTTGGCCAACAAGAGTTCGCATTTGTGGGCAGTGCTTTCTTAGGTAGGTGTTGATTGGGCTTGCTTAGTACGTTACCGAAGCACCTTAACTTGGAGGGTCTCGCCTGTTGTGCCAGTGGTTCTAATTCAATAAGAAATACTGGCCGAATCCGTACCCGAGTGGCCAAGTTTTGAAATCATGGAGTAAGACTGCTTTAACAGTTGTCTTGTGCCCCCAGTCCATCAGCTTCAGTAAAATTTGTTTCCAACGACACAAATGGTGCAAGCTTTAAAAGCGCCACCCATGCCTTGGCGATATGTACATCGACTTCCATCACGGTGAAGTTCTATACAGATGAGTAAACTAGTCCAAAAAAGTAAGTCCGTATCCCAGAAACTTCAGAGCTACACAACGGGTCTGAAAGTTCTGAAGAAAGAATTTGCTTTTTGAAGGTGGAAAGTGCATACAGAAACACGGTAGTAGACAGCGCGAAATGACGACTGTGTCAAATAACGCATAGTTCAGTTTCGCCTGTACTTCGGTAGATGAGCATTAAATAGAGAGTTCACCGATTCCTTTGAATATGAAGTTCACATTGATATGAATGATGAAGGTCAGCGTAAAGTGAGCCAAAGGACGAACGTCAGAACGGTACTAGCTGTAGTAACATTACTTGTAAGTTCGTTGTCACACGATGAGAAATGTGGGTATACAGTGAACCGAGCTAGTTTATAAACTTCATTTTAGACAACTGTTCATCGAAATGACCAATACACAAAGGCAAAAGATTGTTCAAAGTTGAACATATAAGCAAATGTCGGTCCCCGGTAGGCACCAGACTGATGAAGAATTTAAATTGATTTGAAGTTGTGATCAATGATCCCCGTAGCCACAGGAAATCAAGCTTGATGCCCGCGGGTTAGCATCTCACGTGCTGGAATCAGGGGTCGCATTACTGTACAACAGGCTAAATGTGTGTCCCTAATAGACAAACGATTCATCCGTCTAACTTTTGTGTATATAGTGAAAATAGTTTGTCGGTATAATATGTTAGCAAGTAGTCACTGCTGGGAAACAAAAAAAAACAAACTAGTCCACATTGAAACATACTGTTCGCTAATCCATTTTACCAAAACAGCCAGAAGACCAAGATTGCTAGATGTTACCAATTCAAATCAATTTCTCTAGTCACGGATGCAATACATCCTACATTCGTAGATAAAATGCATAGTAACAAAGTCTGAACATCGAACGTCACAAGAGGTCTTGTGACAAAAGTTGGGGTGGGGTCAGCTCCAGTGAACGCAAATGGTCTGGATCAATAGGTCTTGTGCGCATGGTGTTGGTCGCCATGCTCCAATTACCACTACGTCACAGAAACTAACGCCTTCACGTCTTTGGTTGTGCAGTCAAATGTTGAATCTTTGAGAAGGGTCAACTACGTGACCTGTCTCAGACATGGCGCACAACTGATGAACTCCAATTGCGTGTCATTCTTATCGAGCCGTTATCAGATGACTGTATGAGCCGTAGCAACTTCGTCCGTGATCATTCGGAGAGCCGTTGAGAAAAGTACCGGTCAGTTCTACTTAATCATGTATCGCAGATACCGCAACCGAACTGATAAATGTGTGGTACAGTGCACATATACGAAACTATAATTATAGGCTGGATTCGTTGTTCAGATCACCTGCAAAATAATTGAGCAATCTCTAAAATCAGTTCCAGTTCGAAGACCGCTTTTTCGCTAATGACGAACGACGAGGTGGACTTAAAGCAAAATAGGCGGACTTATCAGAAGGTTTGCCATCTGCCGCTGCACGGCAGCCTTGATGTTTAATACCCGAACAATAACAGCGCACGCTAGCAGCGTCATCCTCGTGAAAAAGGAGGATTGTGTGGCCAAATGACCGGAGTCCTTGCAGTTGAACCTAAATCTATGAAACCCAACCCCAAAAAACAACGTTTTGGTCAAGAAGCGGGTAGCCACGAAACTTCAACTGTTTGAATTGTAGGACGTCATACCAAACTGACAGTACAACTCTCTCAAACTGACTGGGAGTCGAACGCCCCGAAAACATCTAAGCCAAGTGTGCCACTGAGATCTATGCTTGATGTGGGAAATTCAGCCTACTTGCAGGTTGGTTGACATTCGAGCTCCCATTCGGAAGGTTTTAATCCTCCTTTTCCTGGAAGACACCTTTACAATTTTGAATTGGCGGTATACCAGCAAGTATCCAAGTATCTTTGACGTTTATTCTTTGTTTACGTTTGTTCACTGAGGAAGCTATTTGCTTAAGTTTGTGGCCATATATTACCATGCATAACGTCCCACCAAGTATGTCAGCTGAATTAGCTAAAGAACCTATGCTGCTGTCTACACAAAACACATTTTGATTTGGAGGGAACGGCTTATAGATAGATTAGTGGTGTCGCTATGGTCTCAAATTTCTCCGGTTAAAATTGAGGGGCAATTCTATGATTTTATAAACGATCACAATCCTAATTTAGTTTCTGACATCCTGAGTGGTTTCCACCATTAGTTGTCGGGGTCCCACGAGGTTTGATTGGATAGAAGTCTAGCCATCCTAAGTATTTTCACGTCTCAACCCCCGAAGGACACCTTGCTACGAATATCCTATATTGAAACCCTTCGGGGTGGCCAATATCCACACTTTATTGGTTCTTCGTCCATTGAGTATTAGTGATGCTCAGCAAAAACTATTTCACATAACGAGAAACATACGAACCCCAAAACAGGCTAGCTGAAAAATAGGTTTCCCTTGAAGACTAGCTGAAGCAGACGTTATTCACAAACGACCACCCAGACGAGTTCATCAGCCTTCACAATAAACCGGATGAATGATATGAATGACGCGGCTTCTAATAAAGAAATCCAGATGACTACCTTTTAAGGGCTACCAACTGCTAACAACCTAAGGGGAAAACAAAAATCTGGCCCAAATAGCATGTCTCCAGCTGTTCAGTTACTCCAGAGGAGACTAAACCTAAGGGTGCGCCTGAACACTCTACCGCACATGTTATCTACCAGTTAAATTGCGGTTTCTGCAGTACGCGAGTGAGTAGAACTGACCGGTACTTTTCTCAACGGCTCTCCGAATGATCACGGACGAAGTTGCTACGGCTCATACAGTCATCTGATAACGGCTCGATAAGAATGACACGCAATTGGAGTTCATCAGTTGTGCGCCATGTCTGAGACAGGTCACGTAGTTGACCCTTCTCAAAGATTCAACATTTGACTGCACAACCAAAGACGTGAAGGCGTTAGTTTCTGTGAAGTAGTGGTAATTGGAGCATGGCGACCAACACCATGCGCACAAGACCTATTGATCCAGACCATTTGCGTTCGCTGGAGCTGACCCCACCCCAACTTTTGTCACAAGACCTCTTGTGACGTTCGATGTTCAGACTTTGTTACTATGCATTTTATCTACGAATGTAGGATGTATTGCATCCGTGACTAGAGAAATTGATTTGAATTGGTAACATCTAGCAATCTTGGTCTTCTTGTTGTTTTGCTGAATTGTAGGGGACTCCGCGCACCCAGTTCCACCGCTGTTTTTATGCTACACTGATCTAAGCACATCTGACCTGATAGCCTGTTGGCAGTTGAAATTAGCGAAGCAATTTACTGCTTTATTAACCTAGTCGTGATCTTATTTCGGGTTAAATGTGTCAGACAGTATTCAGGAGCTTAGAAGCCCCTGTGGTGGTCAATGTACTCAGCAATTCAGATTTCGAATATTGTCTGTGATTAGCTCACTATCAAACAGAATTCTTGGCCTTGTTTTGCAGGATATGGGGATCCGCTTTCCGGCATTCTACGCCACACTAACCTAATTCGTCTCTTGAGTTTTCTCTCTCCACCTCACTCAGTGAATTCCAAGGTATGTTTCCATTTACACGGTTGTTTTTGTTACTTAGGAAGACAGCCAACGACGACATCGGCAGGCGTCCAAACTTAGAAAGGAAGATAACTAGAGTCCTTAACCGAAGATTTTGACTAAACTGTCTGACAACAGATCAGTTGTAATCAGCTTAAGGCGGCCAGATGAGTCCAACTTTAAAAAAGGCGTTGACACGCTTGCATCAACCCACAATCCGGAGGGTCAGGAGACCGTGTTTTCCAACCTGCTGTGGAGACTCTGTGGGTGCTGTAAAGGAATCCTCCAGGATAGATAAGTGGGTTATTGAAGCACGCAGATCATCGCACTACGATGGCAGTGGTCTCTTGATGCCCAACCTCATGTCAAGGCCCAACGCTTCATGTCAAGTGAAATCTGTTGCGAATAAAAACGACAACCTATATCCTTTGGATTATATTTGCACCTTTGACATTTCTTGTTTTGGCTGTCCGCTAGACAAAACACTCCGGGAGTAGCACACCGCGCACCGAGTCCTGAAAACAGGTAGTCGTCATCGAGGAAAATAGCTCTGGCCGTCGGTACACACTGTCAAGTAGCTCCAACCAAAATAGTCAGTTGTGTGCAGCTCAAGCGCTCAAGCTAATCCAAATCGTACTTGTGCAAGAACTCAGACTAGCAGACTAATGATACATGTATAATCTATGTTTAGTGTGTATACTCACAACTGATCCAAAACTGGATTTCAGACGATCTAACAAGTGACCGCTACGCTTGACACTTTTCCGTCAATGCTC